CGGCGGCCCCCTAAGAGGAGGGCTGACAGTGACCAGGACCCACAGCCACCCTGCAAGAGGCCGCCGCCTCAATGGGACTAGCAGGGTTACACTTTAATTAATCAATAATAAAACGTTTTCTTAGAATCATGGAATAGTAGTGGTTGGCATAGACCTCTGGAGATCATGTACTGAAGCCTGGATTATACTCGTCTCTGAAGTCCAAGCCAAAGCAGATAATGAACAGGAGCTCTACATAAACAAGAAATATTATAGAACATAACACCCTAACAAAAATGGCTTCAGCATTAACTTTGGGTACAGACAGGATTGTTTCAAAATAGAAATATATTGAAAATATGTCTGTTTTCATCTTATCAATTTTGCATGCATTTTTACTTAAATAATGCTAGCTGTTATGACAATGCATTACAAATAAATATCTCTGAAAATACTAAAATCTTTTTGTCTGTTATTTTCATATGTGGCTACATAAAATGTAGCATATAATATAGTATATATTTTGCAATACGCCGTCGTTAAAGTGAACATGCTTCCAAAGATAAATCTTTCCTACCTTTAACCATTGTTCTTCCAATTGATTTTCCAAAGATATCTAGAAGACATCCTCTTGCTCCTAAGTATGTGGTTTGAGTGAAGCACCAGTTATATAGCTAGAGAGTCCTCTGTAAAGTGGCACAATACTGAGAGTAAGCACCTGTTACACATGGTTTTACACAAAACCCATCAGTTTGCATACCCATGCTGTATGGGTATACATAAGTCTGGGAGCATTGCTTTAGAAAATCAGATTACCAAGAAAAGGAATATATAGGATAGAAAAAAAAAAAGGACAGCACCATTTCTTAGATGTACCATGCAGCAGTCAAAGATCAAATAGCCTATCTGGAAGAAAATAAGGACACAAATCTTCTAATAGTTATATAGAAGTGAATGTGTTGCCAGAAATAAACCTTATGTAGAAAACCTAGTTATTGGTTGCAATCAAAATGGATTTGCAGAAGTCTCCAGGGACTGAAAAGTCCCAACAAAAAGCCAGGAAAATCTTCCACAAGCCCTTAAAGGCACTGCTGCAGCTGCTGAGACTCACCATGTGTACATGGGCGATTTTGGTGCTGGCAGAGGACACGTCCCAGAGCTGTGCATCTGTTTGTGTGAATGCACAGTGGTTGCCAGCACTTTATGAGAGCAGTGGGACACCAGCAGCTGCGTATTCACTTGAGGTTGCCACCTCTGGCACACGGTGAGTTATGTGGTCTTCTCCAAAGCCAAGAGAGAAGAGAGGAATGGGAGAATGTGCCTGATGTGTCCCCAGGAGGGGTGGGCATCCACCGAGTCTGTGGGTTCATGGCTCTCTGGCCACTTGTCCCCACTTGGAGCCACAGATCCATGCAGCACAGCAGTTTCCTTACTGTAATCCTGAAATGTCACTAAGGATTGATTTAGAAAGGTAGGTAGGGTCTTCAATCTCTGATTTTGTAGTGAGCATCCCTGTCACCGCTATGCTGTCAGGCTTTTGTTGCTGGTCACAGACAGGTGATGGGAGCTGGACAAGCAGAGCCCTTGGAAGCCAACAGCCTCCTGGGTGTGCAGTTCAATCACTTGGGCTTGTCAAAACCTCACCGTTTATGCTCTAGCTGGCATTGTGGCTGCAGCAAACATCAGGTCACAGAATCACAGAACTGTAGGGGTTGGATGGGACCTCTGGAGATCATCAAGTTCCTCTGAGCCTAGCTGAGTCATGCCTCATAGCAGATGGGTCAGCTTGGGCCAAGCATCAGTCACCATGTCATTCACCACAATGAAATGAACTTCCTGGTAATTTGGGAATCATTGTATCTTAGGCTAATAAGCACTGTTATCTTCCTTCTCCACATTTATTTACTCCATGACATAGTTGCTGTGTCTTAAATAGAAATCACCCTCAAGATATCATCTAATTATCTTCTCATCATTCAGAAAATCTGTTTGGTATTACCAGTAATCTCATTATTACAAGTGCAACACTCATTAAACAGACAATAAAAATATATGCAATGTAGCAACCAAATTGTACTGGAATCTCACAGTCAGTGATGGATAATTCTGAAGCAGACTGTTCTCATACATTATTTCCTGAGAAAGATTTAAGTAGTTCAAGAAAACCTTGTTTCAATCACAAGGTTCTATTCTAGATCCTGGCTATTTGACATGATTCCATCACCACATAAAGGCACAGCAAGGGCCAAAAATGGTCAGAGTGGGGAGACTTCTCAGCAGGGATGACATTGCTGGAATCTCATGGCACACACTAGTCCCTGTGCAGGCCCTGGGGGATGCTGGAGATGCAACAAAGTTGAGCTCTGTGACAGTGAGCCAGCATCTCCTGGGCTTATCCCCTGCTTCTGGGTGACATCCTGGATGGACTTGCTTGGGACTGGGAAGCCGTCATTTTCTTCTTGACAGGCAGCGGCTTCAGGCGATGCACTGAGAAAAGCAAAACTGCAGAGGAGTTCTGAACCATGCATGTTTAAAAGATAAGAGGCCTGATCCTTAGCTCCTGAAAGTAAATGGAAATACATTCATGAAGAGCAGAAGGGCAGATTTTCAAGCTGTTGTTGCCTGTCATCTGTGCCCAGTTATACTTAGCTCTGTTACACCTGCACAGAGCCACTTGAACATGTATCAAAACAATTCCTGTCTCCAGCTTTGATCCGCAGTCTGATCCAACAGTAGACCATCATTTGTCTAGCTGGTAAAATAAATGCTGACAAATTTAAGGTACTTTCTTTTTTTTTCTTCGTAAATGTATGCAAATAGATTTGGAACATTTTATGAGTACATTGCACACCCGATAGAACCACTCATGATGATTTCCTCTCCAGGTATATAAAAAAAACATCCATATCCATGTCGATAATTTTTATCAATTCCACTCCTATACTTAATGCTCATTTTGGC